CAAGAGGAGCTGCTTGGGTCCTTAAAATGGGTAACAACAGGGGCAGGTACGTGAGTTGGGCAGGAGGTACAGCTTAGGTAACCTGCCCACTGCCGTGGTGGTGCTTTGTGCAGGGATTATGCACAGTGCCCTGCTTTTGCTCCTGGCACCTCAGCTGGTTTGTGGCTTTTTTGTATCTTATTGTTCATAACTGCCCCAACTGCCATGCGTGCAGTTATTTTTAGTCCCTTACAGTTTCTTTGTATTCTGTTGCTTCAGGGGAAGTTTGTCCAGGTTCAAGTGCTCTGGTAAAGGGTCCCAGGTCCCAGCCTATCTCAGGTGGAGACCTGCTGTTCTCAGCCTAGCTTTCCTCGTGATTTGGCAGAGGCCGTGTAGTTCCAGTCATCAAAGCCTTCTCTTCCTTAGAGCTCTTCCTATCTTCCTTTATATTGTTATTGGCTATTCTATTCTACTTAGAAAGGCCTCTCCCTTTCCTGAGATTTAAAAAATATTCTACATTTTTTCCTATCATTTTCAAAGTTACATATTTTTTTCACTCAGCCTTTAACACATTGAGATTTTATTGATGTACAGGGTGGCTGATAAAGCTCTATATTTATCCATTTTAAAAATTAACAGCTAATTATTTCAACTCAATTTGAGTAATTTATACCCGATGCTTAAATTGCCACCTTTACAATAAATTAAATTTTTATGAGGAAAACACAGGAAGAACACTCTTTGACATAAATCACAGCAAGATCTTTTTTGATCCACTTCCTAGAGTAATGGAAATAAAAACAAAAATAAACAAATGGGACCTAATGAAACTTAAAAGTTTTTGTGCAGCAAAGGAAACTACAACCAAGACAAAAAGACAACCCTCAGAATGGGAGAAAATATTTGCAAATGAATGAACAAAGGATTAATCTCCAAAATATATAAACAGCTCATGCAGCTCAATATTAAAAAAACAAACAACCCAATCCAAAAATGGGCAGAAGACCTAAATAGACATTTCTCCAAACGAGTCATATAGATAGCCAAGAAGCACATGAAAAGCTGCTCAACGTCACTAATTATTAGAGAAATGCAAATCAAAACTACAAAGAGGTATCACCTCACACTGGTCAGAACGGTCATTATCAAAAAACCTAGAAACAATAAATGCTGGAAAGGGTGTGGTGAAAAGGGAACCCTCCTGCACTGCTGGTGGGAATGTAAATTGATACAACCAGTATGGAAAACAGTATGGAAGTTCCTTACAAAACTAAAAATAGAACTACCATACGACCCAGCAATCCCACTACTGGGCATAAACCCAGAGAAAACCGTAACTCAAAAAGACACATGCACCTCAATGTTCACTGCAGCACTATTTACAATAGCCAGAACATGGAAGCAACCTCAATGTCCATCAACAGATGAATGGAAAAAGAACATGTGGTACATATACACAATGGAATATTACTCAGCCATAAAAAGGAACGAAATTGGGTCATTTGTAGAGACGTGGATGGATCTAGAGACGGTCATACAGAGTGAAGTAAGTCAGAAAGAGAAAAACAAATATCGTATATTAATGCATATATGTGCAACCTAGGAAATGGTACAGATGAACCGGTTTGCAGGGCAGACATTGAGACACAGATGCAGAGAACAAACGTATGGACACCAAGGGGGGAAAGTGGTGGTGGTGGTGGTGGGGGGTGGGTGGGATGGATTGGGAGATTGGGATTGACATATATGTGCTAATATGTATAAAATGGATAACTAATAAGAACCTGCTGTATAAAAAAATAAATAAAATTCAAAAAAAATTCTTATATACATTTAGAACTGTTCCTATTTTCTCCATTCTGCTCCTCTAATTTTCTGTATGAATTCCATACTATCAACAGCTTTATTAACTAGACAGCCACATGTGAAAGAATGAAATCAGGACATTCTCTAACACCATACACAAAAATAAACTCAAAATAGAATAAAGACCTAAATGTAAGGCCAGATACTATAAAATTCTTAGAGGAAAACATAGGCAGAACACTTTTTGACATAAATCACAGCAGTATCTTTTCTGGACCCACCTCTTAGAGTAATGAAAATAAAAACAAAAATAAACAAATGGGACCTAATTAAACTTAAAAGCTTTTGCACAGCAAAGGAAACCATAAACAAAACAAAAGGACAACCCACAGAATGGGAGAAAATATCTGCGAACAAAGCGACCAACAAGGGATTAATCTCCAAAATACACGAACAGCTCACGCAGTTCTATATCAAAAAAACAACCAACCCAATCAAAATATTGGCAGAAGGTCCAAATAGACATTTCTCCAAAGAAGACATACAGATGGCCAAAAAGCATATGAAAAGAGCTCAACATCACTAATTATTAGAGAACTGCAAATCAAAACTACAATGAGGTATCACTTCACACAGGTCAGAATTGCCGTCATCAAAAAGTCTACAAACAATAAATGCTGGAGAGGGTGTGGAGAAAAGCAAACCCTCCTACACTGCTGGTGGGAATGTAAATTGGTAGAACTACTATGGAGAACAGTACGGAGGTTCCTTAAGAAACTAAAAATAGAATTACCATATGTTCCAACAATTACCATACATCCCACTCCTGGGCATATATCCAGAGAAAACCATACATGCATATTTGAAAAGATACATGCACCCCAATGTTCACTGCAGCACTATTTACAATAGCCAAGACATGGAAGCAACCTAAATGCCCATTGACAGAGAAATGGATAAAGAAGATGTGGTACATATATGCAATGGAACATTACTCAGCCATAAAAAAGAATAAAATAATACCATTTGCAGCAACATGGATGGACCTAGAGATAATCATACTAAGTGAAGTCAGACAGAGAAAGACAAATATCATATATCACTTTCATGTGGAATCTAAAAAAAATGATACAAATGAACTTATTTGCAAAAGAGAAACAGACTCAGATTTCGAAAGCAGACTTGGGATTGTGGGGTGGGGGTGGGGGACTTGGAAAGAGATAAATTAGGAGTTTAGGATTAACATATACACACTACTATATATAAAACAGATAATCAACAGGGACCTACTCTATAGCACAGGGAACTCTACTCAATATTCTGTAATAACCTGTATGGGAAAAGAATCTGAAAAAAAAAGGATATATGTATATGTATAACTGAATGACTTAGCTATACACCTGAAACTAACACAACATTGTAAATCAACTATACTCCAATATAAAAGAAAAATTAAATTTTAAGAAAAGGCTTATTTTACACTTTAACATCTGTTACATAAATGTCTTATTCATGATTCTACTTTTTAAGACCTCTTGGGTTTATTCTTCCTGATGAACTTTATAATCAACTTAAAAATTTACCTGTTGAGACTCCTACTGGAATTATATCAGATTTATACATTAGCTTGGAAAGGACTGACATGTTAATGGTGACTACAAATTTATATTTTTAGAACATAATATGCTTCTCCATTTATTCAGGTCTTGGTTTTGTACCCTTCAGTAAAATACCACCATTATATTTTAATAAGTTGAGCATAACCTCTTTAACTGTTTTCTTCCATGTGTGCCTATTTCTCACCTCTACATAAATTCTAAAATTTTCAACAATTTTTTTTTTTTAAACAACAACAGCTGCTTTTTATTTTATTTTATTTATTAATTTATTTATTTATGGCTGTGTTGGGTCTTCGTTTCTGTGCGAGGGCTTTCTCTAGTTGTGGCAAGTGGGGGTCACTCTTCATCGCGGTGCGCAGGCCTCTCACTATTGCGGCCTCTGTTGTTGCGGAGCACAGGCTCCAGACGCGCAGGCTCAGTAATTGTGGCTCACGGGCCCAGTCGCTCCATGGCATGTGGGATCTTCCCAGACCAGGGCACGAACCCGCGTCCCCTGCATTGGCAGGCAGACTCTCAACCACTGCGCCACCAGGGAAGCCCATAAAATTTTCAACAATTTTTGAATAAAGATCACTTCCTCATTTCCGATAAAATAAGGCTATTAGATAATCTTTAAGAGCTATTTCAGCTAAGAAAATTCAATAACTTTCTATAAACACTCCAAAAAACAACACTCTAAAAATCACCTAAAGGATGTGCATATTCATATATAAAAGACAAAGTATCTGCACCAAGGATGGTCAACTGATTTCATGTTGAAGAGTAACTCTCATCCATCAGAAACGGCTGCCAAGAGTGGTAAACTCAGAACATCTAGGTTTAAGGGAAAAGAACACCATAATGAATTATCAATTTCTACCATGAGGGAGGGAATGGAAAATGGTGACATAAATGCCAAGTATCTGCCATACATGAAGTTCACCAAACTACTAACAGTGGTCGTTTCTGGAAGTGGAATTATGGCAAGAAGGCTTTCATCTTTTTACACTCCTACATTGTTTGCATTTTTTTTTAAACAAGCAAATATTTTGCTTTCAAAATCAGAAAAAAGAAAGCTTAAGTTTGTAAAAAATACTGCAACTTCTTAATGAATATTTAATAGTGGTATATTTCTATTTCATTATCTCCCATAAATTTCTAATTTCCTTAAGAATTTTTCCAGAAGAAAGTTCTTACAATTCAGGTTTTAAAAGATGCATTAAGGGACTTCCCTGGTGACGCAGTGGCTAAGACTCTATGCTCCCAATGCAGGGGGCGAGGATTCAACCACTGGTCGGGGAACTAGATCCCACATGCATGTCGCAACTAAGAGTCCAAATGCCACAACTAAGGAACCCGCCTGCCGCAACTAAGACCCGGCACAACCCAAATAAATAATAAATAAATAAATATTTTTTTTAAAAAGATGCATTAAAGAAAACCAAAAACAAAACAAAAAACACCTTACCTCTCTAGATAAAGTATCCCTTAAATATTATTTCCAATATCTATGCCACAATACTGTATTATTACTCTTGACAAAAGTCATCAGGAAAGCATGAACATAAACTAAGAAATTATGTAGGAAAATGTGGTTTTAGCACTTTTAACACTTACAATTCAATTTCAACCATGCCTTTGGAACATCCTCTCTTCACAAAAAAGCCAACCTAAGATATAAGAAAGACAAAGTGAGCTGTGTGATGACATTCCCAGGTTAACAATGAGTGATTTAGCAAAGTCATCATTATTTGTCAGATTCTTTCAATAACTACTCTGTACATTCATTCCCATCACTTACTAATTGTACCCTTCCCAGATTTAGACTCCTCCATTGGTTCCACTCACAGATAGTAATCATCTAAGTTACCATTTATTGAACCTTCTATGTGCCTAATAGCCTCTTACAAAGTTCACGACAGAGCGAGTAAGTAGTGCAGAGCAAGGATCTGAGCCCAGGTAGCCCAGCTCCAGACCCTGGGTACTTCTATGGAGTTGCACAGATTAAGTATTATTAACAATCACTCTAAAAGTACTCATCCTGTTATTAATTAGGATACACCTACCACCCAGCAGTTAAAAAAAAGAGCAACACACATAGTAAATACAATTTAAGTAAGTACAATTTATATAGTATAATAGACATATTTAAGCTAGTTTCTATATATTTGGGCATAAGTATGAAAAAAGACCCTGGGCCTAAAAAAATCAGATTGGATCTTAAATTAGGCTGTAAGTAAGTAATACTAAAAAAAAGGCAAAAAATGCACCTTGCAAGTAATTGTCTTTTTAATAGTGATGATGACAATTATAACCACAACAGTTAACATTTATTAAGCATTACTAAATGTTTCTGTGCTAAGCACTTTATATAAAATTTTCTCATTTAATACTCATGAGCAAAGTTATGAGCTATATGTTATATCCATTTTATAGATTATGAAAGTGAAACCCAGAAATATGAAAAAGCCTCTTCCTGTAACAAGAAAGTACAGCTTAATGATCAAGAGTACAGGCTTTACCATGTCTAGTTCAAATCTCAAGTCTGCCATAAACAAGCTGTTTGACCTTAACCAGGTTACTTAGCCTCTGTTTCAGTTTCTTCATAGATAGGGAAAACAGTGGCATTTTTGTAGGAGTGGGTCATCTACTCGTTAGCTTGCAACAATTAAAATACTTCGTACCAAATGGAAGAAAGATCAGGAGGAAGTTATTATTATAAAGTATCCGTACAGGTGGTACAGAACATGCTTGTACTAAATTGTTATGTTAGCATTTAAATAGAAATACAACGTTAAAAAGGTTTTTTTGCTAAGAACTTGGACATCCCCTAAACACAAGGTCTGCAATCTGTCATCTAAGAAACACTGCACTGCACTCCACAGCTTCCTTTAAAAAGCCTACCACTCAAGGGTGAGGAGAGATGTGTCTTCTTTATGACACAAATAAATAGGAAGATTGGTGAACATTGTTACAGCCCAATCCATTCTGACCATACAGCCCTTGGAGTACAATCCAGCAGACCATTACACAGAGATAAGGATTTAATAAATGATTTCTGAAAATTACATATCAGGAATTCCCTGGCGGTCCAGTGGTTAGGACTCCGCGCTTTCACTGCCAACAGCCGGGGTTCGATCCCTGGTCAGGGAACTAAAATCCCACAAGCCGAGCAGTGGGCAGTGAGGCCACAAAACAGACAAAACTACGTATCAATATTTATAAAAATCTGAGTGGGTCCTTGGAAATTATCTACCCCAACCCGTTCTTTGAAATAAAGAAAAACTGAGTTCCAGACAAGTGACTACGGTTACAAAGCCAATCATTAATAAAGCAGTATCTTTTCTACCTCATAAATGCCTCCCACAGAGCATTAAAAAATCATATTTTGAATAGGTTACTTATAATCATAAGGGGTATATAACTCAATCTTGTAACCTACATTAAATTTTAAGCCTGGCTAAGAAACCTGTAATATCATTTTGATAATATCGTAATATTTACAACAGTTTTAGAAAAATGAATCACTTCATGTTTTAAAAATATTTTACAGTGAAGTAAGAACTCAACTTTTAGACTTTTTTAAAAAAATTATTTTATTTATTTTTGGCTGCTTTGGGTCTTCGTCGCTGCACGTGGGCTTTCTCTAGTTGCGGTGAGCAGGGGCTACTCTTCGTTGCGGTGTGTGGGTTTCTCATTGCGGTGGCTTCTCTTGTTGTGGAGCACAGGCTCTAGGCGCGCGGGCTTCAGTAGTTGTGGCAATGTAGGCTCAGTAGTTGTGGTGCACGAGCTTAGTTGCTCCGCGGCATGTGGGACCTTCCCGGACCAGGGCTCGAACCCATGTCCCTTGCATTGGCAGGCGGATTCTTAACTACTATGCCACCAGGGAGGCCCCTAGACTTTCTTTTTAAAACATGTTTTTATGTGAAATACATACCACACAGTAAATACGAACTTCATGCACTGTTTAAGAAATAACAAAACAACCATGTATCTACCTATTTAAGGAACTGATCACTACCAGTGTATCTGACATTCCTTAACTCACGCCAGTTATGTCCTTCTTTCTTGACAAATGTAATCTCTAAATTGATTTGCTGATAATTCTTTTGCTTTTATTTTTATTGTATAAATCTCCAAATATTAAATATATATTATATATATATTTGACCATTCCAGAAACAAATTCACATTACATGTATTTTTCTGTGATGGCATTTTTCCTTAAAATTCTGTTTTTGAGATTTAACCAATGAGCCAAAGTTTGCTTTTACTGTCATATAATATTCAATTTTATTTGACTATACTAGAATTTATTGCAAACAATGCTTCTATAAATATTTCCATAATTTCACCTAGTATAAATGGACACAAGCTTACTAAGGTACCTAGAAGTAGAAATTTTGAGGGACTGGATATAGGCATTTACAGATTTACTAGGTAATGCCATATTTTCCAAGGGGGTTGTACAAATTCATATTCCCACCAAGAATGCATCAGAGTTCCCACCGCTTTAGATCCTTATAAGCCACATGGCACCACAAGAATTTTTGTGGGTCTAATGGATATACCACGCCAGGGTTAATTCGTTTCTCTGATAATTAATGAAGCTGAGCATATTTTCATGTATTTACTGGCTGTTTGGGGTGCCTCTTCTGTGAGACATCTGAGCATATCTTTTGCTCATTTATCTTCTGAGTTGCCATTATTTTGATTATGTAGTCTGGATACCAATATTGTTATATGTGCTATATATATATACCTTCTCTCATTTGTGACTAGTCTTTTCTCTACAAGGTGTCTTTTGATGAACAAAAGTTCCTTAATTTTACTGTAGTTGAATTTATCAACCTTTCCTGTGCAGTCTATATTTTTATTTAAGAAATTCTTCTTTAACCTGAAGTCACAAAGATATTTTCTTCGACTACCAATCTTTTCCAGAAACTTTCTGGTCAATCACATTTAGATCTTTAATATACCTGGAACTGATTTTTGTTATAGTGTGAGAAAAGGACTCAATTTCATTTTTTCCTATACCAATAAGCAATTGTCTCAGTACTATTTATTCATCTCTTCCCCACTCATCCACAATGTCAGTTCTGTCATAAATCAAGTTTTTACTAATCATGGCTTTGTATCTGGGCTCATTATTCTGTCACATCACACTAGTCTATCCTACACCAATACCACAATGTCTTAATTTACTGTAATTTTGTATTGTCTTGATATCTGATAGGCAAGTTTTTCCATTTTGTCCTATTTCTTTAGAAGTATCTTAGCTATTTCTGGCCCTTTATTCTTCCACCTAAAATTTAGAGTCAGCTTGTAATTTATATAGACAGTATAGGGATTTTGACTGGAATGACACTGAATATGTAGAAGAATGACATTTTTATATTAGATCTTCTTGTCCATTAATACAGTGCATCTCTCTAAACTTCAATGTTTTTAAATAAAAATTGTAATTTCTGCATATAGGTCTTACATGTCTTTTAATAATTTACTGCTATGAAACTTGTACTTTTGTGGCTATAATGTCCATTTTTAATTGCATTTTCTGGTCTTTGTTAGTATCTAGGAATGCAATTGATTTTTGTTATACAACTTTTTCTGGCAGGGTCTCAGTTTTTATTTCTAATCTGATAATTATTTTTAAGTTTATTATTGTTTTTGTTTTTGGGTTTTTTTTTGTGGTACACGGGCCTCTCACTGCTGTGGCCTCTCCCGTTGCAGAGCACAGGCTCCGGACGCGCAGGCTCAGCGACCATGGCTCATGGGCCCAGCCGCTCCACGGCATGTGCGATCTTCCCGGACCGGGGCGCGAACCCGTGTCCCCTGCATCAGCAGGAGGACTCTCAACCACTGCGCCACCAGGGAAACCCTAAGTTTATTATTAATTCTAATCAATAGATATAACTCACAGAAACAAAAGGTTTTGGAGTCCTCAGTAAGTTAAAGAATGTAAAAAGGTCGTGCCTTAGTCTGGGCTTCTATAACAAAAATACCTCAGACTGGGTGGCTTTAACATTTATTTCTCACCAATCTGAAGGTTAGGAAGTCCAAGATCAAGGTGCCTACAGAGTCAGTGTCTGGGTTATACAATCTTATATCTAGTAATCCTGATAAATTTGCATATTGATCCATCAGGAGGCTTATCTGGAGTTCCTTTGTGGTTTTTATGCAGACACTCACATAATCTGTGAATGACAGATTTCGTTCTTTCCAACATGTATCTTTTCTGTTCTACCTAGAATTGCCAGTACAATGTTCAATACTAATGGTAGTAGGCAACCTTGACTTGCTCCTGAACTTGCTGTACATTTTCATAGATATCTTTTGTGAAATTAATAAAGGTCCCTTCTATTCCTAGTTTGCTAAGAGCTTTTAATCATACATTACTGTGGAATTTAACTGAATGCTTTTTCTCTATCTATTAAGATGACCATAGAGCTCTTCTCCTTTAAAATGTCGTTGATTATTAGGAAAAAATTAACATAATACATCTCTCACTCCTTGAATAAATTCAATTTGGTCATGATGTGTTATTATTAAATTCAAAATGCTAAAGTTTCTTTTTTGTGTGTGATTTTTGCTTCTAGATTCATGAGTGAGACAGGCTTGTAATTTTTTCATTCTATCCTTGATTGATTTGGGCACCTAGGGTCACATTCTCTGTGTAAAATAGAAACTTACTGCTATTAGGACTAATCCACAATTGTCTTTGTCTTTCTCTATAAGAAAAAATTTACCAGCTAATTTATCTTTTCTACTTAGTCAGTTTTGATAATTTAAGTAGTTGTAGAAACATTTATAGTTACAACTTTTTAAAAATTTAAACTTGAGTGGCATAATGATTCTCATAATATTCTTATATAATCTTTCAAACCTCTGCTGTATTCGTGTAACACCCTCGTGGTAGTCATCAGGGCAGTTCGTGAATATTCTGATTCTCCTTTCAAGCAAATGACTGCACTTGCTCTTTCTCTCTGATCCAAGTTATGGCTTCATGACATGCTTTGTCCAATGAAATATGAGCGCAACATATATATTTACTATTGAAAAATATTCACATATAAGTGGAGCTGCACAGTTCAAACCTGCATTCTTCAAGGGTAAACTGTATATACTGAAATGAAGATTCTATAAGGCTAAAGTACCTAAGTGACCACAAAGGGCCTACACTGGATAAGCAGCAAGAATTAATCTTTTGTATATTTAAACCACTTAAGTTTGGGGGTTTTCTGGATCACAGTTTAACATATCTTAACTATTACTTTTTGCCATTCCTTATATTTTTTTCTTCCTTTCTCTCCCTGCCCCCAGAAGTTACTGATTTAAATAGTATTTCTGAAAAGCAATTTTTAGTTTTGTGGTTCCTACTGAATCATTGTTTATTATTTTATTAATTTCTGCTCTTACTTCTCAGTTTCTATTAAAATTTCTTCTTTGACCTGTGGATAATATAGAAGTACATGTTTCATTCCGAACAAATGGGAAACTTTTAGTTATCTTCTTTATTATTTCTATCTTAATAGCACTGTGGTCAGAGAACATAGTCTATGTGGTAGCAATTCTTTTGATATTTTTTGATATTGCTTTATGGCTCAGTTTATGGTTAATTTTAAGAAATATTCCATTAATATGGTTAATTTTAAGAGTGCAGTGTTTACAACATGTCCATTAGTTCAATCTAACTGTTGTTCATACCTTCTATACTCTTATTAATTTTTTATCTGATTGGATCTATTGATTACCACTAGCTCTTCCACTATAATTCTGGAGCTGTTAACTTGTCTTTAAGAACTCTGTGATTGTGCTTATATATTTTGGAACTAGATAATGTGAATTTAAGTTGGGAGCTGAATTATCTTGCTAAACTGAAACTTTCATCGATATTTAATGACCATCTTTATCTCTAAAAGTTCTTTTTTCCTTTAAATTCTATTTTGCCTGGTATAAATTCAGCTACACCTACTTTCTTTTGTATAATATTTGCCTGGTGTGTATTTTTTCATCCTTTTACTTTCAACTTCTCTGTAGTTTTTTATTTTAGATATGCTTATTGTAAACAAAACAGAATGGAACTTTGTTTTATTGATCTACTCTGACTTTCTCATTTAACAAGAATGTAGAGCATTTATTATTATTGTGAATGTATTTCCACTATCTTTTTTATGTTTTCTAATAATATCCTTTTCTATATTTCTCTTTCTTTTCTCTTCCTCCTCCTTTCTTGAGACTCCTTCTGGGTTGTTTGGGCAGCGGTTATTTTTTCTCTACTTCTCTCTTCCTACTTTAACCTTTCTTGTTTGGAGATTATATATTTCAATTTTTTTTTACTGGCTTACCCTAGAAATTTTAACATGCATATTTAGCTTAATAAACTCTGAAACTAACCAATTATCTTAACTTCCTCCCAACAATACAAATTCAAAGAATACTTCAACTCTGATCACTTCCTTCCTGTTGTCCAGGAAGGACATGTAGTACTATCTTCTTTGATTTAAAAACTTGACAAATGAGACATTAGTATTATTTTACACAGTTTACTTCCCTACATGTTTACCATTTTTTTGCTCACCATTTCTTCTTACCTCTCAGACTCCCTTCTGGGATCATTTTCCTTCTTCCTAAATTATATAGTTTCAAAGTTCCTTTATGAGCATCTCAAACTGTTCTTTTCTTTCCCCCTCTGTTTCCATTCTGAGACAATATTACTACTATGTTTGGAATTCTGGAATTTATTACAATGTGTCTATTTGTGTATTTCTTTCATTTACCCTGTCTGGGATATATTAGGTATCTTGAATCTGAGGATTCAAGTTTTTCAACATTACTGGAAAATTCTTAGTCATTCTTTCTTGAATATTGCCTCTTCCTTAGTCCATTAACTATCAGGTCACAATCTTTATTTCACACTTTTTTCTCACTTTATCTCTATATTGCATTTTTAGAAAAACTGTCAAGTATTTTGGTTCACAAATTCTCAAATATGTCTGCTTTGTTGTTTTACCTGTCCATCAAGTTTCCCTCCCATGTACTGTTATTTCTTTATGTTCTATTTGATTCAAATTTGATTCAAATTTACCTGATCAAATTTTTCAAATTTACCTGATCTTTTTTGTTACTTATTCCTTTGTTATACTTGCAACTTTCTTTCAGTTCCTTAAATAAATTAAGTATTCCTAGTTTACATTCTGTATCTACAAGCTTTGTAGGTCTGATTGTATAGTCTGTTGTTTTTGTTAGCTCTCATTTTTGGTAATTCATTTCCTCCTATGCTCTGTGGTTTTTTTAGGTATGGATTCACTAATTTCTTAGAGCTTTATGTTGAGGACTGGATTGAGGATATTTTCCCTCAGAGGATTTGCATTTGCTTCTGCCTGAAGAGACATGTTACTAACTGGGACCACTTTAAACTAAAATTACAATGTATGTGTTAAGACTTGTTTGGAAGATTTTCTTTCTTTATCTACTGTATTCAGAGCTAACAATGAGATAAGTAACCTCACTGTCCCACTTTGTGATTTTTTTTTCTTCTGCTACATGCAGTGCTTGGCTTCTAGTTTTATCTTCTAACCCTTCTGCACCTTCAGGACCCCCAATCCTATGCAACCAATTCAAAGCCAGGCTTTAGGGTGCAAGGTAAAGCAAATGCCCCTGGGTAAACAACCCCAGAGCTTGTAGAAATCTTTAGATCCAAAGTACTTTGTTTGTGCCCTTTGTAAACTTACTTCACCTTTCCACAAGCCCAGAAATACATTAAAAAAGATATATTTTACATTATTTCTAAGGTTGCAGGTGTTACATACTTGGAGATTCTCTAGGTATATAGTGCACACTACTTCTGGAAATGGAAATCTCCCCACAGTGTCCCTGCCAACTTCATTATTTATATTCAAGCACAACACATTTGCTATACTCAAGGAACGGAGATATAGAAATTGATTTGTTACTAAAAGCAATTCATAGCTTTGAATTCTGTTAAAAAGTACATATGTTAACTCACCTTATCTGCCCGTCCCATGAAAGCAGGTTTGCCTGCTAATCCAAGGCAAATGGCACACACGATGCTGGACTTCCCTGTTCCATTAGCTCCAATAATCATATTCAAGTGGGGCCCAGGAGATACTTCACAGATATCATATGTTCTAGATTATAAAGAGGTGATATTACTAAGCAGAGATAAGAAGTGAAGAATTTTTCTTACCAAAGCACTTTTTCTTCCTTTACCCTTATCATTACCTACAGGCTTCCTCAAATTCTTTTAAAAACCACCTAACCTTACAAATTTAATGTAAGGTTAATTTATAGGTTGTTAATAAACTAGAGGGAAAAAAATCTCTCAGTGGGAGAAATGAAAAAGTGATAATGTATATCTAAAATAAGAACATTCATGGGAAAATAAGACTTCATGTGCTTTTTTTCAAATATTAAGTCTGCTGAATAAAGCAAAGTTTCATATTATTTACTCTTTAATAATTACAATACATGAGAGAGTACATCAAAGCTACTATTCAAATAAGATAATTTTTAACCAAATTATATGTAAGTGAAGCCATGGCTCATCCTAAATCTGTGGATTTTACATTTATATTTCTCTTGAATTAAAATGCTTACTAGCAACTTCTCATAGTCAACCAAATTATTTCTATTCTAATTAGAAAACTGAAGATATATCAAGCCAATAGTTTAATTTTTATTATTACTTAAAAAATAACATCCAATTCCTTTAATATGCTGTCAGACATTCACCAAAGGATCTATTTTTAATACAAATTCAAGTAAATTTTATTCCTATGGGAGGAAACAAGAGTGCATCATCACCAAGCACTTTTGTAACATTCCCTCATACTAGAAAGCAGCATGCTGTCCAGCACTCTACATGCAACAGTAGCATCTAATCCATATTAGTACTCAGGGACAGCTACGGCAAAATGTGAAGTGAACTCTGACTCAGATATCCTTCTACCTTGTCTTTGAATATTCTGAATTGGAACCCATAAATAATGTCCTGTTCCCACAGGGTTTCAGTTAGCTGCCAACTAATTCCCCAAGAGTAAAAAAAACCTTAGCCTGTTACCTGCTAAGTATTTAAATAATTTAACCAAGCACACTTTAACTTTAATACTCAAACAAATTAACAATTCTGAAATGCCACGTGGTAATAAAATAAATACAGGTGGGAGAGGTATTTTCTGGCAGGTTTCCAACCCCACATCTCTGTACAGCACCTATCTTTTCAGAAGCTTTATTCTAGTAACAGCTGAGTCTTAAAGCAACCCTTTACAACGGCTAAAATAAAACTAGTTTGGGAATTTCAGACATCTGGAAAAGTATCTGACATGGAACTTCTTAACCCAACACATGAAGCCCCTTTCTATTAATACTGGAATTTCCTGATGTGAAATCTCTATGTGACTGTCTTACTAAAATAGTGATGCAACTGGTATTTAAGCAAACAATAAATACAACAGGAAGAAGCATGAGAACTTCTGGCCTATACTATACACACAAATATTATAAACAGGAAAAATTGCCAAAAACAAAATAAAGCCTCTGCATTTTTTTTTTTTTTTTTTTTTTTTTTTTGCGGTACACGGGCCTCTCACTGTTGCGGCCTCTCCCGTTGTGGAGCACAGGCTCCGGATGCGCAGGCTCAGCGGCCATGGCTCCCGGGCCCAGCCGCTCCGCGGCACGCGGGATCTTCCCGGACCGGGGCACGAACCCATGTCCCCTGCATCGGCAGGCGGACTCTCAACCACTGCGCCACCAGGGAAGCCCAAGCCTCTGCATTTTAAAAAACTTTTCTGACTCTGCAATACGTTTACTGGGAATTCCCTTTTTGTGAGTTCCCTTTGCTCTGAGCTCGCCCTGAAAGAGCTAATGTCAGAGGCCCACCCTCTTCTCAGTCTACATACTTTGCCTAGTACCTCATGTATTCTCCATGGCCTCAGGTGGCATCTATATGCTGAAAGTCAGTCCAGATGATCTATACAGATGGAATTCCCACCTCAAGAACTCTATTTGGATAGAGTCACCTCAAACTTAACACATTCAAAATTAAACCCACCATCTTTTCCATCTAAAACCACTCTTATAGTCTCTTAGTGAAGGATATCATCATTCACCCCACTGCCCAAGTCAGAAACCTAGGCATTAGTTTTGCATCATCTTTGATTCTTACCATCTCCTTCACCTCTATCCACACTACCCACCCACCCATCATCCAATCAATCACCAAATCATGTTGGTAGACAAGCAAATCTGAAATAACTTGTTTTAAAGAAAAAGGACTTCCCTGGTGGCGCAGTGGTTAAGAATCCGCCTGCCAATGCAGGGGACATGGGTTTGAGCCCTGGTCCAGGAAGATCTCACATGCCGTACAACAACGAAGCCCGTGCGCCACAACTACCGAGCCTGTGCTCTAGAGCCCGTGAGCCACAAGTACTGAGCCCATGTGCCACAACTACTGAAGCCCACACGCCTAGAGCCCGTGCTCCGTAACAAAGACAAGCCACCACAATGAGAAGCACGTGCACTGCAATGAAGAGCAGCCCCCGCTCGCCGCAACTAAAGAAAGCCCGCGCGCAGCAACGAAGACCAAACACAGCCATACGTTCATTCATACATACATACATACATAAAGTTTTTTTAAAAAAAAGAAAAAGAAAAAATAGGACCCTTCATAACTTAGCTCTAGCTCATCGTTTTCTACTTTCTATCTCCTTCCCCATTCTCTAATAAGACCTCTAAATTCTAACTATAATGAATTTCTTTCAGTTTCTTGACTATCTTATGCTTCCTTCTTTCTCCAAGCCTTTGCACATGCTATTCCTTCTGCCTAGAAATCTCTCCCCCCACTTTCGATCCCATTCGACTTGGTTAACTACCAGGAATCCTTCCTTTGACTACCCTCTTCCAGGCCATTTCGGTTCTCTAAGCCTACTCTTTCTACCTCATTCCTAAAACTCAAAGTCCTCTCATTGTAAAAATAAACAAAACCTCCCCCTAGCTCTGCACTTTCCAGCTACCTTTTCTTTCTCCTCTTCACATCCAAGCTTTACTTCCTCACACTCATTCATTCTTCAATGACTGCAAAGTTTTCTGCTTCCACTACTTCAAAGTTTCAAAGATTTCCTAACTGCTAAATGCAGCAGGTTCTTTTCTGTCCTGTTATCTGACTTCAATGTAGCAGATGATAGTTTTGAAGCGCTCTTTTTCCTTGGCTTCTGTGATAATACTCTCCCACGGTTCTCCTCTTACTTCCCTGAACAGTTCCTTCTTAGTCTGTGAGTTCTTCTGCTCGCCCTTAAATGTTGTCATTCGTCCAGGACACTGTACTCAGCCTTCTATTCCTATTTATATTCACTTTTGGGCAATCTCAACCATCTCTGCAATTTCAACAATCACCTATATGCATGATTCTCAAGTCTCTCACCTCTCACATTTTCCTGTAAGCTCCAAACCCTTAAAACTACTGACTACAAAAGATCTTTAAGATGCCCCACAGGAAACTTCAATTCACAGGATCCAAAAGGCATTTATTATTATCCTCCCCAAATTGCTCCTTCTTCTGCACAGCACTATATATGACCAACTTGCCAAGGCAGAGACTTGAGAAAAATGCTCCATTCCTCCCTTACTCTCATGCCTCACAGTTAATCTGCAGCCAAATCCTGTCAAATCTCTTCTTTCTGATCCTACTTCCCACTGCTAGGTTCAAACCCTAATCATCTCTGCCTTCATACTGTAAAAGCCTTCTTGCCTACAATATTGCACCCTTTCTAAATCATCCTTCACACTGCTTCCAAAGTAATATAAATCATATGTCATGCCCTGCTTAAAATGCATCCTGGCTGCCTACAGGATAAAGTTGGAATTCCTCAGCAAAGGAAACACAGACCCTCAACATCTGTGTACATCTTCAGTATCTACTCTGTCCACATACTAGCTCACATCCTATGTTCTAGCCATACTAAAATACTGGAAACTTCCCAAATATAGCAAACTGTTTCAGGCAGTTTCTTGCTCTTCCCTTCTTTTAAGACTTTCATAACCCTCAGTACAAAGCCCTTCTCACAACTGTGGACGAAATTAATCATTTCATCCTTTGTGCCCGCACGGCATCATGACGCATATACATTATTATGGTAGGTACTTCATTTAATTATATTTATCTTTCCTGATTTGGATTCAAACAGCAATTCAGCTACTTATTAGCTGTGTAAACGTCGGCAAATTAACCTCTCTAAGCTTATCAATGGAGGTGATATAAAGAATTGTTATGAGGAATGAATGAGGGCAGTGTGTAAATAAAGCACCTACTTCTATACCTGGCACATGATAGATGCTTGGAAAAAAAATGTTCCTATTGTTACTGCAATTCTGTTTTCCCTAC